CGGTGTTTTTTTTTTTTTTTTTCATGTGTTTGGGAAACAGAAAAAAAATTTTTTACCCCCTGTTTTTTTTCGTCCGTTTTTTTGGGGGGGGGGTAGGCATCCCCGTTTTTTTTTTTGTTTTTTTTTGGGTTTCGGTTTCGGGACGGCGTCGATAGCCCGAGGGAAAAAGGCTTCAAGGGCCCCGGGGTTCCCACCATGATCCCCAGTTTGTTGATTTTGGCGGGGGGGGGGGGGGGGGAGGGGAGGGCTGAAGCTGTTGGTGCAAGCTGAGTGTATGGGCAAGCTGAGTGTTTGTGCAAAGTCCGAAGGGGGTTGTTGTCAACGTTTTCGCGTTGGAGGGAAGATTGGAAATTGGACATGCAAATCGTCGTGCCCTCCACCCGCCTAACGTAGGCTACGGCCGCCTAACGGAAGGGCGTCGAAAAGACGGACGGCGACGGTGGTGACGAAATATATCCTCCGGCCCGAAATGGACAATTCTAGTCTGCGGGACCCCCCGTCCCCGTCCCCGTCCCCATCCCCGTGCCGTAGCAGCAGAATCCAGAGCGGCTCCATCCGTGGTCCTCGTGTGCTGTGCTTGCTGTAAAGGCTTCGTATACACAGCACAACAGTTATTCGTGTGGTCTGCTGCGCGATCTACTCGTGTTGTCTGTTGGTGGTGCTGTGTGCTGCCGGGTGGTGCGGGTCTCTTGTTTCGAGTTGGAAGCGGGTTCTTTCTGTAGAGCTGGTTCCGGAGGCATTTTTGTCCAGGCACGGGGCGTGTACGTTCGTTGGGCCTGTCTCGGTGTATTGACGGGCGCTGCAATCGGGGTGTCAGGCTACATGGCGAGCGGCTTGTGGTTTTGGTCGTTGGCCGGGCTTTTGATCGTTAGCCGTTTTTTTTTTTGCCCCTGGACGCAGGCAGCACCTCCGTGTTTCGCACGCGGGATACAAGCAGAAGTGCAATAACCGAGTTTGAAATCACACGCTAGCACCGATATATATATACCTGTCTGACGTTCTGCCTGACCCCCCCCTCATCGACAGTAAACATGGTGTTCGATCCAACTCTTGGTGCCTAATCCATACCCGCCCGCCCCCCGATCCACGCCTCCCTATGTTTTGCTCAGCATTCGTGTGAACAGAGGTTGATCGCCCTCGACAGAGACGTTTGGAATATGGGGCCTTTATTAACGCAGGGTGTTTCGTATTAAGTAAACATGTTGGATAAAGAATGCAATTGGAAGTTGGGGTCTTCGTACTCCCCCCCCTGTTGGGAAGACATTTCTGGGCCACCTTTGGCAAAGTAGGAAGGAACGATTGGCCATCGGTGATCGGTCAAGTGGGAACAATGCTCCGTCCTCTCGAGGACGCGTGGTGAATGGTCTAACCGCTAAGGCAAGCAAAACATAAGAGTTCGCCCCCCCCACCCCGCTGTTATATTTCCTCATAAACTTATTTCTCGCGAAGACTGTCCGTAATGAATGGCCTGCCTGCCTTCTTTCCTAACTTTTTTTTTTTTGCAGGTTCCGAACTACGATTCGTTCCTCCCGGTGGTGAGGTGCGTCCGGAGGTGGGCCAAATCCAGGGGTTTGTACAGCAACAAGATGGGATACTTGGGAGGGGTGAACTTCAACATCATGGTGGCCTTCGCTTGTCAGGTGGGCGGCGAATCAACACTGCGTGGTGTTGCGTGTTTGCGTTGTGGGGGGGGTCGTGTCTTTTGCACGGGCGATGCCAGTCAGTGCGTGTTTGCGTTGTGGGGGGGGTCGTGTCTTTTGCACAGGCGATGCCAGTCAGTGCCGGAATGCATGTGCCCAGAGAACTCACCGCCACACCAGCACCAGTCCACCGGCACCAAGCAGGGACCCTACCCGCACTGCTGTATTTTGCGAACAAGCTCGTTTTGTTTGCTGTACTTGTAGTAGGCCCTACTTCCCTTCCTCCGCCGCCGTCGTGTTTGGTTTTTTGGTTGTTGGCGAAAAAAGGAGGGCGTAGTGGGGCCGCTTGTAGATACGGTTGTGTTCGGCTTTTATCGTGTCTCCGTATCACATCCTCCGATCATGACAACCATCTCCGATCATGTCCATCTCCGATCAAACCTCGGATCACACCTCCGATCATGCATGTCTCTGATCACATCTCCGATCACATCTCGGATCACGCCTCTGATCACACCTCCGTTCACAGCTCCGGCTCGAGACCGAACCAGTGTCATTAGGTGCCCACCACGCGACATAGCAACGAAGCCATTGCCGCAGCACCCCTTAGTCCGAGCACCGAATAACAACTCCCCGCGTGCCTCGGAACCCACCGTTGTGGCTGTCGTTGTCGTTGGCAGATGTACCCGAACGCCGGCCCGTCGACCCTTCTGCATCGTTTCTTCAAGCTCATGGCCGGTTGGAACTGGCCCAACGCCATCCAGCTCGTGCAGCCCTACGACGCTGAGCTTGGGCTGGAGGTGACGGCGCAGAATTGAACAAAGTTGTGAAGATACCGTGTATGACACAAGATAACACACCCCCTGGACGAATTTTCAAAGCTCGATTACGCCATGACGAAGAGGATGCACAAATGAAACAATACATTTTCGGAAAGCTCACGACGAGACAGCAGTTAGTTTCAACACCACCGTTTTCGGTGCTGGTTCTCTTTCTGTAGTTGAGAAATCGAGATTTGAAAATCGGTCCAGGGGGTGTGTTATCTTGTGTCATTTACGGTACTCGATGCTTGTTGGTTTGGACTGGAGGTGACGCAAAAAGGAATAAAATTGCACAATCCTTGATGCTTGATTCTTTTTGTTGGTGTGAGGACGCTGTGCCCGTTTAAACCGTTGCAAGTGCTCGATGCTTGTTGGGGTGAGGACTTTGGACCAATTTACCAGCGTCTCGATCAGTCGGGAGAAAAAACGTGGCGGGAAAAGGGAATCTGAGTGTTTGTTCTTTTGATTGTCGTTCGTCCCCCCCCTCCCATGTACGATGGACCGGATAGGGAAAACGT